ATTGGTGATCTTCTTAGTCCCTACACCCCCAGCAGGTCCCTGAGGTCCAGTGACCAAAGCCTACTGGTTGTGCAGCACCAGGCTAAAGACCAAAGGTGACAGATCATCTGCTGCTGTGGCCCCCAGACTCTGGACCTCTCTCCCCCTGAGTCTGAGATCAGTGGACTCAGTGGTCTCCTTTAAAAAACAGCTGAAGACTCACGTGTTCAAGCTGGCTTTTGTATGATCTTCTTCACCTCTCTCTCTTTATTCTGCTCTCCCCACCTATTCCACCTTCCTCAGGATCCACTGATTTCCCTCTTTCCTGTTCACTCTCTCTCTTTCTTAACATTTTTTCTTTTAAATCCCAATCATCTATTTTTGCTCATTTTAAATATATTTTTAAACATTTTCTAAATCCTTTTTTATATTTTAACTTTTTGTTTTTTGTTTTTGTGAAGCGCCTCGTGATTTTTATCTTGAGAGGCGCTATAGAAATGATATTTTCTTCTTCTTCTTCTACATGTGACCTCTGCAAGTAGCTTGCATTGGTGAAACGTGTTGCTCCTGGAGGATCCCGATGACTTCTGGTCAAAGCTTTTCAAGTTTTGTGGAGGTCACTGAACTCTGGTACACATTTCTGAGAGCTCACCAGGCATCTCAGATTAAACGTGCTTGTTTGTTTTGGTTTGGCGATCACACCTCAGACTCTGAACTAGTGTTGCATCCTAGTGTGTTTCCTCCTTACATCCCTGTTGTTGGTGCAGTTTAAAGAAGCTGCACACCTTTTTGACGAGGTCCACTCCAGTTCTCGTCATCACCCGAGAATAAATACAACCAGAACAACAGCTGGGGTTGGACAATGTGCTTAGAAAAGGATGAGGTCAGAAAACTGTAAGGCATCGTTTTTGAGACGTTTGCTCCTGATTTCTGCTGTTTCCGACTCTCCAGAACTGTGGAGTTAAATCCTTCCTTTGGAGCAAAGTGTTAAGCAGAGGCGCTGCTTTTGTCCTTGTTATTTCAAAAAGTGATTCTTCTACATCTTAAAGAGCAAGTTCACTGAGAACCCTTTTTGTACATGTTAATTTATAAATATGATTGGTCCTATTTCCTGCATTAGCCAATAGAAACCAGACAGAGAAAAGCTCGGATTAGAAAATCCTCACAGATCTATGTCACAATCTCACTTAACATTCATGAACTCGCCCATCTTGACTCACGACGGGGGAGGGTGTCGTTGGTTTAGCGTCCAGGAAGCAGCAGAGAACGTCTCGGCTAGGAAAGCTAACCATTAGCATTAGCAACTCCACCACTCATCAGAACTCCTCCAGGCTTGTGTTATTTGTGGAGATAAAACATCAACGTTACAGAGCAAAGTCAGTGGTAGAGTCGTATTGCTGTTAGCCAATCAGAGGAGAGATGTCAGAATATCAGGAAATAAGAGTCCAGATCCTGCTGTGATCTGCTCACCTCTGGCCAACTGTTAGTTTGTGAAACAGGAGCGCCAGAGCTTTGTTTCCACAGAGATGGACTCAAAAGGCGTTCGTTCATACTGGAAACCACAGCAGATCAAACTTTAGATTTTTTAAATATTCTGTTGTCTACGTGTCAGACGATACCAACACTTGTCAAAACAGTGAAGAGTGACCAAATATGGTTTCATACAGTTGACTTCCTGCCCAGAACAGGACTGATGTTAAGATGTTTATAAATCTCGTCTGGAACAATGAGGTCAAACCGGATCCAATTCCGTGGAAAAATCTCCATTCCAGGCTTTGAGAAGTTGAAGCCCACTTTGATGCTTTGATCATTTGATTTGATTTTGTACATTTTTTTGTTTGTAATGAAAATCGTAGATTTATTGAGTTATATTCTATGAATTTTTTAATGATTTTCAATATAATTCATTATTTTGCTGTTCAGCCTTTCGTTGTTTAAATAAATCAAACTTCCGTAATTTTCCTATTGCAGAGATGTTTACGCTGGAAGACGGACACTTCCTGTCCTCTCATTCTTCTGTTTGGTCTTTGCTGATGTTGTCTCACAGCTTTTATTGACCCACCTGCTCCTTTGCTCTCCTGACTCCAATCTGCCAATCTCCCCGACCGGACAGCCTTTTATTCCCACCGCTGTTTATCTCAGATTTATGCGTTTTCTTGTTTTCGAGCATTGACACATTCTTAGCCTCCGGGGTTCCTTTGCCTGCGGATGATTTATTTCTTTATTTATTTTCATACTTATTAAAATTACAACCTCATTATGAGTCCACAGATTAGACGTCCATTCGTCTCTGCGGTGTCCTGAACACCTGGAGGGAATTTTATTTATTTGGATGTAAAATTCTGTCTGAATTAACTGGATCTTGTGTAATTCAACACTGTGATTCAGGACATGGAGACATAATTTGTCTCTTATTGTTGTGTACATGCTGACATGATGATAATAGGACAGATCCTCAGTTTTCCATCCATCCATTTCCCTCGGCTTATCCTGAATCAGGCTGCAGAAGGGAATTCTAGACCTCCTTCTTCAGCTCCTCCTGAGGGATCCACTGATGTTCTGAGTCCGCTCCGGGTCTTCTCCCACTGGGATGAGCCTAAACTGCAGGAGGACAACTAGGAAACATCCCTGAACCATCTCCACTGATTCCAGGTGAGATCAGGTTGTTTTGGCTCCGCCTCCCCAGAAGTGAAATCATCATTATAAAGAATTAGATTTTTAGCTGCATGCTGATAAGAGCCCAGTTCCTCCCCAAGTTCACGTCACATTTTCATTTAACGTGCTAATAAACTGTTCGTCTGGATCCCGTCTTTCCTTAAACCGATCCGACATCACAGCAGCCTGAGAAGCCCAGACGTCCCTCTCTCCAGCAGGGGCGCTCCCAAGGAGTGGCCGAGGGTGGCTATGGGCTGTTTCACCATGGCAGCAGGTGAATTCAACTGTTACTAAATTTAAAAATGAATTTTGAAAAAAACATTTTAAAGAGCAAGTCACCCCCTACCAGAGTATTACTCCACTCCCACTTCCTGTTTGAAAAATGCAACAAATGCTGTTGCCTAGCAGACCGAGAGGGCGGAGCCGCTAATAAATACACACACACAGGCTCACAACGACATTGTGACATCATATGGTACCAGCTAACATTCTAGGGTACCCCTTAGCCAATAGCGATGGCAGATTTAAATTCAAATGCAGGACAGAGTTTTTACCTGACAACGGCACAACACTGACAGTTTTAGGCAGAACATTTAAATTTTAACTAGAATGCACTAAAGTGCAAAACTATTGACTACACATGTCTGCAGCACGATTAGACACGCATTTATATGGTTTATCAGAAAAATAAGTTGATTTGGGGGTGACTTGCTCTTTAAATAACTTTGAATCATCTTTTCTGACCTTTAGTGTTTAAATTTGAGGTGAGCGTGTTGGACACACGTTTTTTAATTAAACAGAAGGGTGAGGGTTTACGCATTGCTACAAGGACCAGTTTGGTGTGCCACCCCAAAATGTTCTCTGGCCCCCTAAATACATTTTTCTGGAAGAGCCTCTGCTGCCCAGCCACTTGGGCCAGCTCCTCCGGGATATCCTTGGGTCTTCGCTGGCCAGTCTCTCCAGAGTGTCCTGGTCTTCCTGGCATCCTCCGGTTGGACGTGGCCAGAAAACCTCACCTGGGAGGCGCCTTGTTCGGCAATTGAGATTATTTCTCTGAAATTTCAAACAATTTTTGATGTGAAAATCCCCAAATACTAGGGATGCTCCGAACTGATCACATCATTGGATCATCCCTATCCAATGACTAAAACATCAGTTTCCTTTGGAAATCAGTATTTTGTCCTAGTGAAACATTTACGCCTGCAATTTGTTCTTAAAAGAGGAAAATAATTTAAGTCCAGAACTTTAACAAAAAGGTTGGTGAAGAAACACGAAAGCAGAACCTAATCTGGTGATCCTGAACTCAGGATGAACTCTTAATGACGACGGTTCTGGTGCAGGACTTTTGGTCCAGTTCACCGAGACATAAAATCTTAAAGCTTGATGTTTGAGTGAAGAACTGATCAAACATGAAAAATGCTCCAACAAAAACAAGCAGCATTCATAGAAAGATCCATTTATTTCAAAGTCGTTTATTTACAAATATTACAAATTTGCATGGTTTGAGGGAAGTGGGGGTCACACGAATAAAACAACTGATCAGTGCTCGTTTCAGATGCTGAGGCTCTGAAGCATTCCTCTTGTTTATGCCGCAGAATAAACAAGTAAACAAGCTGTAGAGAAGCAGAAAACGAGTTAGGCCATTCCCGCTCTGCGGGATTACTGGGTTGAGTGAATTCCACCAGAATCCACAGCGGCTTTAAGATAATCCCATCAGAACTGCAAACATGCAGCTCCCCCAGCACCCGGGCCCGCTAGCGCTGACGAGAGCCAGGAAGTGTTTGCATGCGACCGTTCTCTGAGTGTTTAATTAGCACCACCAGAGCGCTCATTTTTCTATATTTTATTGATTTTAGGGTAACTCAGAGAAAAGTGTTCATTTAAACAGCTGAGACATGTAGATGCTGTTTGTGTTGCTTTAACTTGGTGAACAAAGTAAAAACGGACATATTATTAGTTCAAGGAAACAATTTTTGACCATTTTGAAGAATGTTTCTCTGTAAAAGTTAGTCATGTTTAATATTACACATGCCCACTTACGCATTTTAGTTTGATTCTACGTCTCAAACTGATCTTTTTACAGCACAAGCCTTTGCTTTCACAAATTAAGGAAATTAAAGTTGATAAAATGAATGCATTTGAGGATCACAGTGTTGGGCGACATTCTGCAAATATGACAGTTTTATAGACTCTGTTCTAAACAGACATTTCTTTGTGCACACGGTTTATTCATCTCTGATTAAAGTTTGTTAAACTCTGCTGCAAACGGGAGCAAAAGCCGACCAGGTGGGGGCGTTAAAAGAACTGACGGTGTTTAGAAACGACGTTCTAAACGACGTTTATGAATTCTGTTGTAAACAGTGACTATGGGGTGTTTAACGGGGTGACTGGGTTAGGGTGAGGTTAAGCCCTGGCCCATTAAAGTCACAGAAACCTCAGAAAGACGAGACACGGTGAGCTCCTGTTGTAACCCGTCTTGAATTTTCTCACTGAGCTTCCTGCTCCAGACAAAAGCAGATTTTTAACCCTTAACTCATTCGCTGCCAACCGTTTCCTGATCGCTAAAGCCCTTCGCTGCCAGAGTTTCTCACCGTTTTTACAGGTTTTTTTTAAGAGTCGCAGAACGTTGCGCGCTAGCATGATGTCGATGCCAAAACAACCAAAACAAAGAGGAGACTCATCCGCGTGTTTCGAGCGTTATCCGTTCTTTCATCATCCGTTGTCGAATTGTGATCGGCAGACGCTTTTCGGGTTTACACCTCACTTTTTTTTTTTTACAGGAACGGCCCAAAACGATCTCCGAACACATGGATGTTCTGCTTCCTGGTCATGTGACGTGTGATGTATGCGGATGAAGATCGGCTTCAGGGCTGAGATGTTTGTTCTTTCAGCGCGGGGGCTCGTTCCGATGCCCAAATGGTTAAAAAAATGCAAATGACGACTTTAGTCGACATTGGCAGTGAATGAGTTAATACCTGGAGTGTGAAGTCATTTATAAAAATCCAGATTTAAAATTGAAGCATTTTTGTCTAATAATGTGTTTTAATGTTTTTTGTTTTATGTGATTATATTAAAGCAATAAAATAGGCTTTGCTATCTGTAGATCCTCCACCAGGAGGCAGTAGACATGTATTGGACCGGATAGGGCCGGTTTCTGGTGAAGGTACTAATCCTGATGCTCCACTTAGGACAGACAAGGGCTGATGGGATTTACTGTACTGGATGGTTTTTATGCATTAGTGAAAAAGACATTAAACAAACAGAGAAATAAAACATGAATTTGCCAACAGAATGTGCATTCTTGCTTATCTAATACCAACTTTTGATCATTTAGATTATTTTTTGCTGTTTGATAAAAAGCAAGGTTTTCTTCCTATACCACCCCTTCTGCCTTTAGTTTTTGTTTTGTTTAACTTATTTTAATCTACTTATGTGGTTAAGTGACATTGGGCTTCATTTTTAAAATGTTTTTTAGCCTCAAAGTTTTAATATTTACTCTTAAAAGCATTCAAAGTTAATGTTTGTTTTTATGTCTACAAAGTCCCACTGATCCAAATTAATACTGGATAGTAACATTTTATATTTGTAAGTTAAAGCGGTGTAAATGTTTATCAAAAAACTTTGCACGAAATATCATAAACATTTGTAGTTTAAATGTTTAAAAACTACATTTGATCTTGTCTGCACACAGACTAGCTGTTAGCTCATCAGTCCCAAAGTAAATCAGCTGTTTCTCCAAACTGAGGTTGTTCAGGAAGCTATACTATTATAAGATAAAATGTGTATTTTGACACAGGAACATTCTGTAAAATTGTCATAAAATGCCTTTAGAGACCCATTTCTATGGGCAAAACCAACAGCCTGCGGCCAACAAACAGCGATCCTGGCCGTTTGTTTTCTGTAATAAAGCCACACAGAAAGAAAACTAATAAAAAAAGAAGTCATTATGGAAATTGCGACTCCTGCGGTAAGTGCTCTTTTAAAGCTCAGGAACATGATTCCATTTAAATAGTACATTTTCCCTGAATACTAATAGGATCCTGAGTTAATTGTTATGCATGTTCACGTAATAAAGTGAAATTAATATCCCTCGCTGCTGCCTCGTTTCATTACAGAAGACATTTTTGACTCTACTTTTATCTCACTCGCTGTCTAATTTGGTCTCGGATTACAAAAAAACAAACGTTACCGTAGAGAAAAACCTAAACGCCCGTCCGTCCTATAACCTCTCATCGGTGAGCTGCTCTGATGGGACCTGAGCGGGCATCAGTAGGGGGAGAACTTCTTCCGATCAGATTTTTTGATGCCAGAAGTTGGCATTTTCGCAGCATAAGGGGACAAACCCGGGGTTAGGCTGGGGGCAGTCGCTGAGTGGACAGCTAAGACAGGGAGGGTTTTCATGCCAAGGAGGCTAGAGATGGGCATGGCATAGTGTGGGTTTTGGATGGCTGGTAGGGTGGAAGGAGAGTGGACGTTAATGGTGGTGGGAGATGGGGTGCTGGCTGCCAGGACGGTCATGGGAGTAGCAGCGGTGGAGGCGGAGGGAGCGGTCTGTGAGTAGCTCATGGCCAGATCAACGGGGGTCGCGGAGGAAGCAACCTGCATGGTATATTTAGCCATCTCTAGGCTGCAGGCCCGGGGAGGTGAGATGATTGGTGGACGGGTTAAGAGAAGATAAATGACAAGGGGATGGGGGGGGTGAGACAAAGGAGAAGGGAGTTGAGAGAGGAGAAACAAAAATAAAAGAAGGAACGTGTTAAAAAAAAAGAAGCAGACAATGAGGATTATAATGCAGTCGAAAAGAAGGGAGCGGTGAGCTGGAACAAATCCAGCCTCACCCTGAACAACAAGTCTGCCCTTTACAACAACACGCCGCCTGCTCATCTTATTACTACGCAGCAAGCGGAGCTCCGCAGGACGTGGCGGCCCTGCATAATGCCTTACCTGGCGTTGATGAGGTACTGGGCCACGCTGATGCTGCCCGGCGATCCCGTGATCGTGACTTGGCGCATGGTCGAGCCATCAGTGGCGCTGGCGATTTTGATGTGGGCTCCGGAGACTTGACGAATCTCATTGATTTTACTGCCTTGTCTTCCAATTATGCAGCCAATAAACTAGCAGAGGGGGAGATTGGAAGCACGTAAATAACAACGGAGCCCGTGTCTCGGTGCTCTCCAGGAATCAGACGTGAAAAACACAAGATGGGAGGATGGATTAGCGCAAACGCCCGGTCGCACCTCATCAGACTAAAGCCAGACTCCGGAACTCTAATAACACACAACGGTGCTTCGCGCTGAACAACTCTGTTTTATTCAGAGCTAATTTCAGTTAAAAAACAACTGACATGACTGATATTTTGGAAGGACCATTTTGCCAGACTTGAAGCCGAAGTGCACTGAAAGACAGTTTTAATGAAGATTACGCTCATTCTTGTAAAAACACAGTGTTTACAAAACGCTTGTGGATTTGTGCACAAATACATTTCTGTGTTGCTACGACCCTTTGACCTCCACAACGGGTCAGGAAGGACCGAGTCTAACAGAAACGTTGTGCATAACGTCTGCAGCCCAAAATCCCTCATTATAGCCATCCCGGAGCGTTTAGTCTGATGCGGATGCAGGTTTCAGTGGGGGAACAGAAGCAATTTTACACTTACGTCGTTAGGTATCGCCAGGTCTTGTGTCGCTGAGGGGGCGGAGGCATCCAGTCCTGCAAAGTGGCACAAGGAATGCTAACAACAGCACTGAGCTAACGGTTTCCACTTTCATGGCTTAACAAGTTCTCCTACTTCCACAGGGTCATGTGGTACTTAACAAACAAAGGGCGGAAATAATAAGAAACGTTTCTGTAGAAACATAAAACATTCATCCTTATCAGCTGAGGTGAGCGCAGCCATGACTCCAGTTCTGTCTGAGCACTCAGTAAGCACGTGGTGTATTGGGTGTAGTTGGGTGTGGCAGAATAAATGAACGTGGGGGTGGAAAGAGGACAGGAACGGTCCGGTCAAGACGATATTAGATTTAGTGCAGAAATGTTGCAGAGGTAAAGGAGGGGGATCACGAGGGGGTGACGGGGTGAAAATTTGGGACGAAGAAGGAAATAAATGCTGAGGTGTAATTAAACATTTATTTAGGGGATTAGGGATTTCCAGATCAAGATTCTTCTGTCCCCAATTTCTGCAGTGAAATGTAGTTACGCAGGATTTATAAACACCGATGGGCGATGCTTTAAAAGGCCAACGGTGTTTATATATCTGGTGATCGAACCAGATAAAACCTGTACATGTGCTGACCTGCTTTAGTGTGAGCGGTCGATGAAAAACACACAAACTGCAGAGATGAGAGAAAACCAGCTCAGGTTTCATGGATTATTTTAGTCCTAACCCTAATCCCAATCCTAGTTCTGATCAAATGGGGGGTTTGGGCCTTGAATTAATCAGAGCGAAAGTGAAACCAACTCAGAGGTTTCTAACTCGGCGCTCATTGGTTGGTGGCCTCCCCGAGCCCACCTCCTGCTCCCGATGACAGCAGTCGTGTCTCCGACCTGGCTCGGTAAGCTTAATGTCCACGAAGCGAGCAGCAATCAGCCGCTGTCATGGCGGCGTTAGCTGCGTTTCCAAAGCATTTTGCTTTGGATCGGTCTCAGACGTGTTTTGTCACGTTGCTCCGATAAATTTACGGTCTATTTTTTTTTTGTGAGCGATGCTTCCTGAACACGTCTGGCTCAGCTGTTCAAATCGGTCCAGACAGGAAGTCAAACACAAGTGCAGTGTAAACCGAACCCTAACCACAGACCTTTCTGGATACCTGCTGCTGTCTTTCTCCTTGTTTGTTATCACATGACCTGGCGAAATCACGCGTGATCTTGCAATTCTCATGTGATTTTGTGACCTCGCGGGACCAGCTTTTGATGCCTTTCACATCTGAAACATTCCCAGTGTGATGGGACCCACTGGTGCTAGCAGGGGTGGACTGGGACCAAAATTTGGCCATGGCATTATTATGAACAGTCGGGCCTCGGCAGGGGAGGTTGCTGCTCGCGACTCGTCCATCCCGCCAAATGTGGGAGGAGGGACGAGGAGTTGTGTGTGATGCTCGCGGACCTGTCTCTATAACCGCATGTGAGACGGGGGCTTGGTTTGGGACGGCCCAAGCTGGGCAGGTGGCCCACTTGGCTAAGCGGCCCACCGGGACAGTGCCAGAATGCCAGATAGGCCAGTCCACCCCGGCTGCTAGTGAGTACAACGATAGATGCCCTGCACTTTTATAGCAGCTTTCAGAGTCAGAGGACTCCAACGTGCTTTACAAAATGCTCATAATCTGTTACGCAACGCTTACTCGTCCGGTGGAAAGGCCCAGCAAGTATCGGTGTTGCATTAATTATGACACATAAAACAATAGAGATCAGGAACTGAGCGTTGCCACGGCGACCCTTTGCCCCAAATAACAAATATCTAGATCGGGATCTTTAAAGAGCAAGTCACCCCCAAATCAACTTTTTTTCTGATAAACTATATAAATGTGTGTCTAATCGTGCTGCAGACACGTGTAGTCAATAATTTTGCACTTTAGTGCATTTTAGTTAAAATTTAAATATTCTGCCTAAAACTGTCAGTGTCGTGCCGTTGTCAGGTAAAAACTCTGCACTGCATTTGAATTTAAATCTGCCATCGCTATTGGCTAAGAGGTACCCTAGAACGTTAGCTGGTACCATATGATGTCACAATGTCGTTGTGAGCCTGTGTGTGTGTGTGTGTGTGTGTGTGTGTGTGTGTGTGTGTGTGTGTGTGTGTGTGTGTGTGTGTGTGTGTGTGTGTGTGTGTGTGTGTGTGTGTGTGTATTTGTTAGCGGCTCCACCCTCTCAGTCTGCTAGGCAACAGCATTTGTTGCATTTTTCAAACAGGAAGTGGGAGTTGAGTAAGAAACTGGTAGGGGGTGACTTGCTCTTTAAAGAGCAAGTCACCCCCTACAATAAACTTACTTCACTCCCACTTCATGTTTGAAAAATGCAACAAATGCTGTTGCTTGGCAGACCGAGAGGGCGGAGCCGCTAACAAATACACACACACAGGCTCACAATGGCATTATGACATCATAATATACCAGATGACATCATAGCATACCTCTTAGCCAATAGCGATGGCAGATTTAAATTCAAATAAAGTGCAGAATTTTTCCCTGACGACGGCGCAACACTGACAGTTTTAGGCAGAATATTTGAATTTTAACCAAGATGCACTGAACTGCCAAATTATTGACTACACGTGTCTGTAGCATGATTAGACACTCCTTTATATAGTTTATCAGCAAAAAAAACGTGATTTGGGGTTGACTTGCTCTTTAACTAGATCATGCTTTTTTAGGCTATTTTTCCCCACTCGGATGTGTCTGATCAGTGTATTGTGTTATAAATGTTTCAGGCACAATGCTTTTATGGTTTTACTTTTTTTATATATATATTTTTTCACCAGCTAGAAGCAGATGCACCAGGCCAAAGGCCATCCGTGTGTTCCTCTCTAAAAAGTAAAATAAAAACAGGAAACTGTGAAAGTCTCTGAGACATCACTGATCCTCGCTGAAGTGACAGCGCGTGTTGATGTGTGATTCAAAGAGGAATGAAGACAGAGGGAGAGACAGACTTCCCCGGGGGGCCGTGGGTACGTACCAGGAAAGGTAGGGTTGCTCTGCCCAAGGGAAGGGAGGGGGATATGCTGCATAGCCAACTGGTGAAGCTTGGTCAACTGCAGGGTAGGAAGGAAGTTAGAGCTAACCAATCAAACTGGATTATTTCAGAGGATCTGACATCTACAATACAGAATCAATTTGAAGTTCACAAACATCACAGTTTGCTTCAATGTGAGGACACGAACGTCCCGAGAGAGCATGCAGAGTTCAACACATCGTCATCAGCAAATACGTCACACGTGGCTCCAGCTACAGCCGATCAGACACTCATTTCCACTGAAGTTAATGCTAGTGTGGGTCGGCGTTAGTAATCAGGGTTACTGATGATTCGTCGCTGCAGAGTGGGGCATGGAAAGGATGCTGTGGTGGTTTAGAAGGTTTGGTCAGGAGCAGACCAGAAGAACAGGCAAGCGAGACCAACATACTTACATTTTGATGTGCAAACGCATACTGCCCTGGTATAGCAAAGGCCTTGAAGAGAGGAGAGAGGAGAAGGGGACCGTGACTATGACAGACGTGTTCCAGCATGCCACACAAAACAGAACATCACCACACGGCACAGAGCAGCAAAAATCCATTCCTTTCCATTTTTCCTCGGCTCGGGTGAGTATAGATCTGATGGAATTTCATTTAAATGTCATCTGCTGGGTTTTTTTGGCCTCTTTGACTGTGGCTGAAAATCCAATAACATAAACAGATGTCTGATGGGTCAGAGCGCGCTGTGCCAAATCCAGGACAGCAGCTTGCCCAGACATGAAACATGTGGATTTCACTCTCAGGTTTCATAAACCTTCACCTACAGGCCAAAAGTCCACTTTACTATCCCATAATTATGATTCCTACATCCTCACAACGTGCGGTTCGACCTGCACGTTTGGACTGTAGCAGCGAAAATACGATTACTGAGTGGTGTGACGCTGCTGCTTCCTGTTTTTCTGTTTTCATCACTTCGATCACTCTTGCATGACCACTTACTTGTGCAGGGTGCTGTGGCGCTAACACCGCGTGCGCTCCAGTGGCCAGGATCTTGGGATGGTAGGGAATGGTGGCTCCTTTTGGTGGCGACTGGGGACAACCAGACAAAGAGAAAACAGTTGGTTGTCTTACAGCCGAGACGCGGTTAGTGAACCCTGACCCGTTGCTGTGATAAAACCTCTGCTCTGTTGGATACCAACAGCCAAATCTATACCTGAAACACTTGGCTAGGAGGAATTCATCAAAATGTTAAATGTTTTAGCACAAATATGAAGATCTGTGAACTAAACAGTAACACTCTATCTCCCCTTCCATTTTCTGACGCTTTTCCAAGACCGCGTCACGGGGATAAGAGCCTAAGCCGAGATCACCGTTCATCTCTCTCTCTTTCCCTCCCCAGGGTCCTCCTGCAGGCCGACCCTTAGGCCTTCACAGGCCAGCTGTGAGAGACTATCTCTCCAGCGAGTCCTGGTCCGCCCCGAGGTCTCCTCCCGGTCGGACGTGTCTGGGAAAACTCCCTTGGAAGGAAACCAGAAAACATCCTGACCAGATGCTGAAAGAGGAGCGACTCTGTTCTGATCTCTAAGCTCCTCGTCGCATCATGAGGGGTGGGCGCAGATGTTTGCTGCTGCTTGTATTTCTAATCTCAGTCTTTCGGTCTTTACCCAAACATTTATGTCCAACGGTGAAGGTTAGAATATAAAATCACTTCCCTTTCGACACAGAAATATGACTAGCATATAGCCGAGTGTTGGTCACAGATGAAACACCTTCCACTCAAAGACCCAGAGAATTCTGGGAACTTTGAAGCTGCAGCAAATCTTTCATCCACCAATGAAACATTTAGTTGATAAAGCAGCAAGTTACAAACTCTTCACCCATCTGAAAATGCCCCTACAGATTTATCTGAACATCTAAAATCAAATTAACATAGCACCCAATCCCAACCAGAGTCAGGCACTTAGTAAACATTTCATCCACCCATCGTCTAAACCCGCTTGTCCACGCGGGGTCGCAGCGGGCTGCTACCCAGGACAGGTTGCCAGTTAGAGAGACCAGTCAACCTGATAGACACGTTTGTGGACTGTGGGAGGAAGCCGGAGAACCCGGAGAGAACCCACGCACGCACAGGAAGAACATTCAAACTCCAAACAGAAAAGCCCCAGGTTGGGATTTGAATCCGGCACCTTCTTGCTGCAAGGCCACAGCGCTAGCCACTGCACCACTGTGCAGCCGTAAGCATTTCAATCGAATCTTTTTATCAGTTCAGTTCATTTTTCCAATTAGTTAAACGTCCTCTCTGTAAGGAAGCCCAGCAGATAGCATTCAGCCACCGACCAGTGTCAGAAACTTCCCAACAGTCCTCACACTAAACAAGCATGTAGCGACAGTGGAGAGGAAAATTCCCCTTGAACAGGAAGAAACCTCCAACAGAACCTGGATTAGTTTGAGCAGCACTTCTATGTTAAAAAGTAAATAGTTAATATCAGGAGAATGTTTAGTGGCAGGCAGTAGTGTGCCTGCCGACGGCCCCCTTCAGGACGTAATCACAGCTCAAGGGAACGCCAACATGCAACAGAGTAGAAAACTCCTCTACAGCCCAACAGCAGGTATCATGAAGGTCTCAGATCTGCTGTGGTTTGGTATGACTAAGTGCCGGTGGCGCTCCTGTTCCAAGTTGTGGGAGGAGTGGGCGAGACAGGATCATGAGCTTTAACCACTAATGATCATGATATGCAAAGCTCTCGCGTCTGATTGGCTGACAGAAGCTTCTACTGCCTTCATTAACAAAACTCAGAATATTTTCGAACCTATTTTCTTGGGTAAAAATGCGACATTGGTGTTTTATCTCCACTAATAACCAGTGTTGGGAGTAACGCGGTACAAAAGTAATTAATTACTGTAATGCATTGCTTTTTGCTGTAATGTGGTAATGTAAGGCATTACAGGGAAAAAATGGTAATATTTACTCGGTACAATTGTCAGTAACGCGGTAATTACAACGCATTTTTAAACCCAGAATCAAGATGCGGGTTTCCTAAAAATTCAAATTGGGAAGCCTGAAAAAAGATCCAGTATCCACACATATGACGTCATTTATGGACTCAGCTTTGCGGGCATTCTATGAGCAGAGAGGACGCAGCGGTAACGGCTCAAATACTCCAGCTGCGTCCTGCGCGCGGCCGCTGTTATATTCACAAAATCGCTCCACCAAAACAAAGTAATTTGTTTGTGATCGTTTATATCTGCCCGTATTCTCTAGTACTTCATGTACATTTCAGCTGAGTTCATAATCTGTGCCCCAGTGATTTCAACTCATTGCTGCTGGAGCGCAGCGCATATTAAGCTCTTTTTTTGCGTTCGGTAGATCCCTTTGGCTGATCGTTACAAAGTAGGAAATCTAGGAAACAGTTTTTCTGGAAGACGGAGAAATCATGCAGCACGCAGGAGGTTAGAGAGAGAAAGGGCAGGAAATTATTCGAATAAAATCAAGAAAAGAAAACAAAACAAAGTGCTTGAAAAGAAAAAAAGTAGGTAGATTTATCCCCAATACACATTTTTTACCAGTGAAAAACAATAATATATACGCATTTAATATTTATACATGTGATAGAATCAGATCACCCCAGAAGTCAGTCCCACATCCAGGGCCGTATCAAGGCATTTGAGGTCCAAGGCAAATATAGGCTTGGAGCCCCCACCACCTCACTCCCTGCTCAGTTAATATAAGATGGCAGCGTGCTGAGAGTACAGATTGTTGTTGCTTTTATTTAATAAACAATCATTTTAAAGCACTGTTATTATATCTGACTGTTGTTAACAGCAATCCTAGCTCAGACACCACATCACCTTCCACATATATGTCATGAGCTCACTGAGCATCACATTACCAGATTCATATTGAAGTTGCTTTGGTGAAAGTAACTTAAAGTAATGCAAAAGTAGTGTAATGCCTTACATTTTAAAATCAGTAATATTGTAATGTAATGAATTACTTTAAAATGAGGGTAACAAGTAACAAATAATGCATTACAGTTTTGAAGTAACTTGCCCAACACTGCTAATAACACAAGCCTCACCGTGTTCCACCATGTTGTAGAGTTGCTAATGGTTAGCTTCTACTAGCCACGACAAGCTATCTCCTTCGTGTGGGCGCCCCCAAACTATGGTGGGCGGGGCCATGAATGCTACTCTTCCCTGCAACACAGAAGAGACTGGATTTTTCTGACTTGACTGTTTTCTGTCTGTTTCCTTTCTGCATCTAATTCAGGAGGAGACCCATCGTCGTTCAGAGAGGACACGTGTCACACGGTTTCTTAGTGAACCACACTGGTCACTATATATTTTTTATATAAGTGTGAGTCAGTCAGAGCCTGAACAGAGCTGTTGGACATGAAGATCGTCTACCGTGTGACATCACTCACCTCCAGCATTACAGAGCAGATGTGTCTCACACACTGAGTGATGGCCTGTGGAGTGCCGGAGATGGTGACAGCCCTCTCGGTTGAGTCTGGCAGCATGTCGCCTGCCACCTGAACCTGAGCGCCTGTAGTCTTTAAATCACCAAACAACAGAGGAGACAAGGGCTGTTTACCGCTGAAAAGAGCACGCTATCATCCATCCTGAGGTAGTCTTTCAAACACCCACACATTAACCTGGAAGCACCTTGACATGTGGGGAGCGGCTGAAAGCCAGAAGGTGATGCATGCTCAGATATTTAAAAAGGCACGTGCAGATGTGGATTAAAACTGGGACTTGTACCAGCAGCATGTTCAGTCAGGGACAAAAAAACAGAAAAAAACGCTCCAACCTCGCGGATTTCTTTAATCTTTGAGCCTCCTTTTCCTATCAGAGAGCCACACTGGCTGCCCGGAAAGACCAGGCGAAGTGTCACAGGTGGTTTGCTCGTCACGTTGCTGTTCGTCATCGCTGCAGCAATATCCTGAGGGACAAGTGGAAAAAAGTGGTTCTCATTATTAAGAGGTGCAGATGAAAATGTGACATTTCCGCTCCGTAGACCGTTTCAAATGTTTAGAAATAATTTTGTTTAGGCTTCATTAATCTTTGAAATAAACTTTAACAATCTGTAGTAGTTAATTAACATTTAGATTTAATTTTATTATTAGACTCCCCTCTATATATTTGAAAAACTTTATATTTAGACTTGATTCAGAATATTGGGATTTATTTTTATGTAGCTTAAATTTAAAATGTTTGGATTTAATTTCATATATTAGACTTGATTCTGCACATTTATTGTAAAACTGTTGTTTAGATCTGCGTTTAAACTTTTAGACATGATACAACATTTTAAGGTTGAACATGAAACATGAACTCCAGAGACATCTAGTGTGTGGAGGGTGTAGTTGCAACAACAGAACAAGGTTTCCGTCCGTCGGGATGCCAGGCTCGCTGCCGATAGGTGAAATTAGGGTCGTAGGCTTCACCTAACCTCACCCTGATTTTAGATCTTTTACGCTCGCTCCTCTTCTGAGCAGGATAACAACGTCTTCTGGACTCAGAAGCAGCTGCTTGAATTGCCGAGTCCACCATTTTCCACAGGGCCAGCCTCGCTGTGCCGATTGGACTGTTGGGCAACCTGCAGCGGCGCCTTCCATTGGCTGGTGGATGTAAGCACAAACCCAGCCCGCCAAAATAATGACTTACTTATTTTATTAAATTAAAGCTTTAAAGCAAATACTGTGCCATCCTTCTGCACACCTCTTAACGCCTCGTGGAGGTATTATTTTTTAAACATATAGCTTTTTATTAAATATTCAACCTTTAACTTCCTAAATGTTCTGAAAGTAAAATAAATCCTGACATTTATTGTTTTTTCTTATCTAGATTCGACAAAATGTTGCTGTTAATTTGACCATGTGTTATTTCACAATCGGCACCCCACGTTGTTCAAGGACAGAAACGTTCTTGAGGAGTTCATGACGATCGGCTAAAGGAAGCTCCTGTGGAGTGTTTGGATTCACCTCCTCAAACTTCTGCGCGATCATGGAGAAAGCTCTGAAGATTCCCTCCGTTGGTCCTGTGATGGTAACGATCCTCTCAGGAGACGAACCCTCTGAAATGTTGATGCGAGCGCCGCTCTAGAAACCCAGCCTCACCGTTATTCCAGCTTTGGCTTGCTGTGACTCACACCTCTGACTTCTTTAGGTTTTATTTCATTCACTCACCTCCTCTCTCATTTTCTTGACCGTTTCTCCTTTCTGAAATCACACAAATACACGTAATATGGGGGATGCAAAAGCAACAAAGTTGTGTAAAATAAAAGTCAACTAAGTTTACCTTTCCAATTATGCTGCCAACTTCCTGTAAAACAAGAGAAAAGGGGAAAGGACAGATGTAAAACAGTAAGGACCAGGTTACAGCGGTTCGTTCTGACCCTTAGTACCTTTCCGTGCATCAGCAGCCTCAGTGTTAGCGTCACATTCAGACTGTCTGAAGCCATTTCTTCTTTGAATGACATCCTCCGTGTTGTCCAGGCTTTAAAGTAAATGCTGCAACAAGAACAGAGGCCTGTGTGAAACAAGCGCCTCAGTGTTTCGGGAAATGACACGTAAAATTGAGGAGGCACTCGGCCAGAGCACACAGAGCTTCTGGTGGCGTTTCACTGATATAACAAAGTTTTATTCCAAGGTCAAATACTGATGCATACAGATGTCATGCATTTCCATTTAAAGGAGTCAAGGAGGTGTTTTTCTGGAGCATTTGATGCCATGTTGTTTGAAATGTTTTTTACATGCAGGTGGTTACTAATAAATTAAACTTTGTTTTTAATAATCATTTTAATCATCTCTGAAATGTGCAATCCTAGAAAAACCTCTTCCAGTCAAACTAAATGTCCCGTTCTTAATGACTGGATCCTAAACCATCCGCCAAATCACTCCTCTGCACACACCCCTCCATTCACACAAAGCACGCATTCCCAGATCGGAGCAGCTGTGCGGGAAGTTAAGCTAGCTGAGCTGCCTATACCGGGGCGCCTCCAGAAAATTTTGATGGGGTGGCCAGACGGGGCCAAAGACGTTTTTGGGGTGGCACATAAAACATCGGGAGAGAGGTCCTACCTGAAGTGGAGGAGTTTAAGTATCTCGGGGTCTTGTTCACGAGTGAGGGTAGGAAGGATCGGGAGATCGACAGGCGGATTGGTTCAGCATCTGCAGTGATGCGGACGCTGAGCCGATCTGTCGTGGTGAAGAGGGAGCTGAGCCAGAAAGCCAGGCTCTCAATTTACCGGTCGATCTAGGTCCCAATCCTCACCTGTGGTCTTGAGCTTTGGGTAATGACCGAAAGAACGAGATCGCGGATACAAGCGGCCAAAATGAGTTTCCTCCGTAGGGTGGCCGGGCTCAGCCTTAGTGATAGGGTGAGGAGCTCGGACATTCGGGAGGGACTCGGAGTAGAAATGCTGCTCCTCCAAATCGAAAGGAGTCAGTTGAGGTGGTTTGGGCATCTGGTCAGGATGCCTCCCGGACGCCTCCACGGGGAGGTGTTTCGGGCATGTCCTGCCGGCAGGAGGCCCCCGGGTCGACCCAGGACACGTTGGAGAGTTTACATCTCCAATCTGGTCCGGGAACGCCTTGGGGTCCTGCCAGAGGAGCTGGTGGAGAAGGCCGGGAAGAGGACGGTCTGGAGCTCCCTAGTTGGGATGCTGCCCCCGCGACCCGGACCCGGATAAGCGGAGGAAGACGACGACACATCAAACTGGTCCCTATGGTAACTCTGGGATAGTTTAGCCTGAGATGATGTATTGCATTGCTCCTTTATTTGTTTTTATTCAATAAAAAAAAAAGTATGTATCCAAAACAAGGCGCCTCCCTGGTGAGGTTTTCCGGCCACGTCCGACCGGAGGATGCCAGAAAGACCAGGACACTCTGGAGAGACTGGCCAGCAAAGACCCAAGGATATCCCGGAGGAGCTGGTCCAAGTGGCTGGGCAGCAGAGGTTCTTCCAGAAAAATGTATTCAGGGGGCCAGAGAACATTTTGGGGTGGCACACCAAACTAGTCCTTGTAGCAATGCCTTCTGTTTAATTAAAAAACGTGTGTCCAACACGCTCACCTCAAATTTAAACACTAAAGGTCAGAAAAGATTATCCAAAGTTATTTAAAGAGCAAGTCACCCCCAAAACAACTTTGTTTTCTGATAAATCATATAAATGTGTGTCTAATCGTGCTGCAGACACGTGTAGTCAATAGTTTTGCACTTTAGTGCATTTTGCTTAAAATTTAATTGTTCTGCCTAAAATTGTCAGTGTTGTGCCGTTGTCAGGTAAAATCTCTGCACTGCATTTGAATTTAAATCTCCCATCGCTATTGGCTAAGGGGTACCGTAGAACATTTGCTGGTACCATATGATGTCACAATGTCGTTGTGAACCTGTGTGTGTATTTGTTAGCGGCTCCGCCCTCTCGGTCTGCTAGGCAACAGTATTTGTTGCATTTTTCAAACAGGAAGTGGGAGTAGAGTAATACTCTGGTAGGGGGTGACTTGCTCTTTTAATATTTGTATTTCTTATGTAAAAACACTAGTTAAGAGCTTTCCCCTCAGCCGTTTGGGGTTTAACGGTTTATGGTACAATGCATTATGGGATAGCTTCCTGTTCCAAGTCTGCAGAAGGATGGATTGATGTGTCTTTGATACATCTGTTGGAAACTCTCTAAAGTTAGAATAATTAGCTTTTAGTTAAGCAGCTAAAAAACAATCTCTTTCAAGAATCCTTCACACTAAATCAAAGCTGTGTGACCTCACTGTGACACGAAGGAAGCCACTCGTGCTGATCAAGTGATCTTAGTGTGACTCGTCTCTTAATGGCACCCACAAACCCACACAATGTTGACTCTGTTGTCGCCGTGTGTGCACGTCTTTGTGTTTGCATGAGAAATGAAGAAGGGTGCGATCCAGAATGGGCGGCGCAGTGGACCAAATGGGCCTCCGTAAAATTTACATTTTGAGCAGGACCAAATGTAGACTGAAGAACTGATTATAGGTTGGAGAAG